ATCTGTGGGCAACCAGTAGGAACTGTAGTAGTTCCTGATTTATCTCTTACACATTGCTTCGTAAATGTTAAGAAAGAGTATTTATATTTTATATTTTGCCAACATGTAGGTGAAAGATGACCTTCAGGCTGTTTAACGGATTTCACTAACAGACTGCTCTGTCTTTAGGTCTGACCCAGAAGCCCTCAGTGATGATTCCTCCTCTGACAGAGGGGCAGCCGACCACACTGACCTGCACTGCTCCTGGTCTCTGTTCTGGATCTGATCCTAAATTCACCTGGACATGGAGAGGAGCAGGAGAGAAGGACTCTCAGATCACAGGAAACATCACTGCTCTCAAGACTGAGAATCTGACTGCTGTCATACAGAGTCACAGCTCCACTTTGACCGTTAACCCTTCAGCTGAACATCACAACAGCAATGTTACCTGTAAGGTCAGCTTCAGAAACAACATCACTGCAGAGGAGACTGTGACTCTTAATGTGACCTGTGAGTAGATCATAGTGTTTCTTTCTAGTTCTCTGATTTGTGTTGGGGTTTCAATATAAACAGTGTTATTGCAAGAAAGCTTGAAATGTAATGCCACTTTAACACTATACAGTATATAATACAGATTACATTATTTCTCATAGATATGAAGAAAGTCAAAATCTCTGGGAATGCAACTGTGAAGGAGGGGGAGACTCTTAATTTGACCTGCAGCGTTGATAGTTTCCCTCCATCCCTCATCATGTGGACTAAATACTCTGACCGAAATATGCAAAATGGATCAGAAACAAGTCTTCAAAACGGCACTTTAACTGACCTGCAGAACGGCACTGAGACCTTCCTGCAGGAAGAAAGAGGAATCGGCATCCTCTCCATCTCAAACGTGACGCCAGAAGATTCTGGACTGTACATCTGCACAGCGAGACATATGAACTACACCCTGATAGAAAAAGTGAATGTAACAGTCACATGTAAGTATTTTGTACAACTGGTCTAATACAGAACATTTCTTGCATTTCTTTCCTCTCGTGAAACTGAAACCATAAGAGCAAGTATTTTTTGACAGCTGAAGAAAAATTCTGGCTGCACTGGAGCCACATCTTTAGACAATAATAATTATTGGGATTTCTGTCAACTATACCTTGCTTATAGTTTGGCGCCCTCCAGTGTTATTTTAAAAGAAATAGAAAAAACCCTGGCCAAAACGGTATGAACGCAATCAGGAAAAAACACTCATACACAGTCTCCTTATTTCGTTTTTCTACTGTAGATATATTAATTCCATTTTCAACACAGCGTATCACACTTTTGTATTTATTTTCACGTTTGTTTTGCATATTCAGTTATTATTGTACCTATATTTAATGCAGTATTACAGATAGCATTTTACTGAACATATATTTGACAGATATTCCAACAATTCATGTGTTTGGGTAATAATATGAAATAAAATGTTCAATGTATTTTCAGCTTTTATTGCATCTTAACTTTAAATATGTGGTTAATGTGCTTCACAGATATGAGGGAAACTCTGATCACTGGGGATACAACTGTTAAGGATGGAGATTCTCTGAATTTAACCTGCAGTGTAGAAAGTTTTCCTCCGTCTCATATCACATGGACTAAACCTGGCTTCAACACAAACCTGAACAATGGACCTGATGAGTACCTGCAGAGCAACAATGGGTCAGCCACACTTGTCATCCCTAATGTGACCACAGAATATTCTGGACAGTACAGCTGTACCGTGCAACACTTGGACACCACGGTGACTACGTATGCTGATGTTACAGTGACTTGTAAGTAGATGGTACTAATTCGGAAGCTTATGTTCACATTTCAGTATTTTTTTTGTAATCTTGTGATCTTGTGATTTTGTGTTTACAGGGTTTTCAAGGATCTTCAACAACTCTGAATGTGTGGTTCATTCAGACATTCTGAATTGTGTGTGTATCAGCGAAGGGTTTCCTCTACCCACCATCGAATGGCCACTGTTGAAGAAACACACCGAGTACTCTGTCTTTACTACTGTGTTAAACCACACAGTCAACAGCAGCCTTACTTTAAAATATTATAGCAACACCTCTGTTGAGTGTGTAAGCATCCATGAAAATGGGGAAGCAAACAAAACCCTCACCATCAGAATAAACACCATGGAACAAGGGGGTACGTGTTGTCAACTAAAACACTCTAGCTACTGTAGACAACTGCTTTATTTTTGCATAATTAGACAATCATTTGGCAAGATGTGGGGAATAAACTGTTGCATTTTTATTAGAGTTCAGAATGATAAACACAGAATATTTTCTTTTTGTTTCTTCTGATTGCAGATCAATCCAAAAACATATTAAAACTTGTTTCACAGCTGGAAGTCATCATTGCCTTTTTCATTGGGTTACTTCTGTCAGCAGTCCTTTGCTGTTGTGCCACAAAATGCCACAGGTACACTTAATCAATAATCAATACGTAGATTATTTTGTGGATAATCTTCATACATAAATATAACTCTGTTGATGTTTTATATACTTTCTCTTTCGTAGAAATAAACAGAAGAACTCTGGAAATCTGGAAGAGACTCTGGGGATGGTGGCCAGTCAAGAGGATCCACTGGTATCTATAGTCTTTCTATACATATTGTGTGTGTGTGTGTGTGTGTGTGTGTGTGTGTGTGTGTGTGTGTGTGTGTGTGTGTGTGTGTGTGTGTGTGTGTGTGTGTGTGTGTGTGTGTGTGTGTGTGTGTGTGTGTGTGTGTGTGTGTGTGTGTGTGTGTGTGTGTGTGCGTGTGTGTGTGTGTGTGTGTGTGTGTGTGTGTGTGAATATACCTACACGCAGAATGAAAACCTCCAATCAGAGCCAAGGAGTCTTTTAACCCCAGTATCAATTGCTCAGATCAAACTTTTATGATAAAAGCAGATTCACATTGTGATGGAATAAAGTATCTCCAACAAGTGTCAAGTCTTTTTCAAAATTGTAATTATGCTATGATTTTAAAGATAGGGTTGTCAATAATGTATATATACCAGATATCAATTTGACGTGTCTTGTACACAATTTTGATGAAAATAGCAGCTGCTGAATGAGTCGTATCATTGTACGTTGTACCTGACAGATAGATGCTGGTCAAGCAGCGGAAGATTATCAAACCTACTACCAAGAGGCAGCTGAAGAAGAAGGAGCTGTGGCAGCAGAGAAAGGAGACACTGATCTCAATGGAGGACCAAAAGAAGTGGAGTACGCGAGCATTGATTTCTCCATGTTGGAAAGAAAGAGTCAGAGGGAGGCAGTAAAGAGGCCAGGGACCACAGAGACGGAGTACGCGGAAATTAACAAAGAAGGAAAAGAGGAAAAGGAAGACAATAGCGGAGAGGAAGGTTATATGTTGGAAAAGGAGGAGGCTGTCATCATGGAGGAGGAGGAGGAGGAGACAAAACATCATGAAAGTGAGGAAGAGGAGGATGTTGCAGTGTACTCTAATGTGAAGGACATCATGGCTGAGAGTTGAAGGCTGTTAGTGGAGTCGCTTACGGATAAAATGTCTCTTGATCTCATCAGCTGTGATTGACATTATGGACTAATGATGGATTTTCATTTCTGTGGATGAACTTTGGCACTGATATCTTATAACTCAAAATTCAGCCAGATTTACTGACGTTACCAAGACACTTCACATCTTTACATGTTAGAGTCTGTGCACATCCGTTCATTGGACTGGAAAGTCATTTATAAGTGGTGTTGTGCTTTAATGTGTTTGGTTTTTAAGCTTTCCAGATCTGTTTCCCCATATCCATGAAAATGTTGATGCTACCAATATATCAGTGATGTGTTAAAGGGCAACCACATCCATCCTCTCTGCTCTGAGAGCTGAAGTGTAATTTAGTTTGATACCATTTAATGTAACCACAATAAGCACGTGTGCCTTATTTTCCCAAAGCTCTGTTGAATGGCAAACGTTTATTTGCCTCAGGGAAAATGTTTCTCTACATGACTCTAGGGATGTTAACGTCTGTCAGGTCTGGTTTGTAAGAACCTTTTAGACCATACTGAGATATATCTGATTCATTTTAGTGTTGTTTCAAAACAGGCTTGAAAAAACAGGAAGCTCTTTCTTTCCACAGAACCTGTAAACGTATAATACAGCATAACAAACATTACAATAATCAGGCGTAACTGATAATGAAAAAACGGTTGTATGTCCGTAGCTTTAAAAATAAGTTATCATGTAGCAGCTTGAAGTGTGAACAGGAAGTTATTAAAGAGGATACAGTGATGCCATATAAGGCAATGTTTAAATGAATAACCACTTCAGGGACTTTTCCGAGAACTTAAAATAAGGCGTTCGAAACATCAAAACCATAGCGTTACAAGCACAGGTTATAAGGCTGCATGCAATTAAAACAGTAACTTGAATACTTTTTATCTTTACCTATTACATACACTTATTCAGGAGTTTTATATTTAAAAAATAAACCCTGAATGATTAAAGAAATTACTATTTTAAATGGGCCATCATTATTTAACTGCAGATATGAACACGTAATACAGATCATTGAAATGCATGCACTTTTCACTCTGGGAATAACGTGTTTTACATTACTATGTACAACGATGGCTTGTGTAACGAATATTTTGTTGTCTTCTAACATAGTTTTCGAATGCACACTCATGGTACTACCGCTTTCTCAACGTTTTTCACATCTTTCGGTCATGATAAACCATTTAAATATAGACTTGCTCACTTCAAGATGTTTTATTTACTGTAAGATGCTCATTATCATCAAATACACATACTGCATGATATCTGTGATTTTTGATCTCTGAGATATTTAATATTTTAGCTTCAAGTGTAGTAGTCTAGCTGGGCTAATTTGTAAAGAAGCTTCCTGGAACTATTTGAAGTGCAAAAAGGGAAGAAGTACAAAATGAGGAAGAAGAAGAGGAAGAGTCAGAGCAGAGAAACTCATGAGAACACCGGAGAGATGAGAGCAGCGGAGAAATGGCAAAAAGAGGTGAAACCTTTTTAATATTTAAAATATCACTTTTATTGTAAATATATTCAAATAAGTCATTTTTTCTTTATTAATGTCATAACATGCTTTGAGAATTCAGCACTTTAAATAAGTGAGTTTGCATTAAATGTGCTGGATTGTAGATGAAGCTGCTTCAGATAATTCAAGTTGACATGGCAGCTGTTTGTAGCAGATACAACAAAACGTTAGGAAATAAAACATTTCAAGAGACTAATAATCCTGAAGCAGATCTTAGCCACATTTATTAATGTTACTTCAGGAGATGCAACACCCTGTATCTGAAGCTGTGCTGGCAATGTTGGAGTTGTTCTTGTTCCAGTCTTATCCACTGAAATATTTGAGAGTTTTGTTTATTTTATGTATTTATTTGTTTATGTTTTTAATTCTGCAAACGATAGAGACAGTCTGTCGACATCATCGAATCAGGATGTTTGTTCTTATCTGGGGGATTCTGCTCTCATCAGGTATGTGTCTTTATTATAATCTTGTGATAACAACAAAAAAAGCTATGAATAAAATAATAATTTTCTATAACTTTATATTTGTAGTATTTCTCACAGCATCTATTTAATACACATTGAAACTCTGTGATGAACATTCAGTTACATTCAGTTATGCCAGACATTTTTATTTTAAATTATTGTGGTTTTAAAAACATGATAAATGCTGGAATCTGTCATGTCTGTTTAGTGTTGCTTTCTTTTACCATTTATTTAATATCATGGTGCATTGGTTTTGTGTTTATAAAGATCTCCTTTCTCTGTTTTTGTCTCAATATTTTTTTAACAGGTGCATCAGTTTGGGGAAAACAACACTGTCAATATAGAAACTTCTGTATCACTCTTAGTGATGCAGATATAACAGCAGAGTTTGGACTCTGTGTCGTGATACCGTGTTCCTTTACTACTGATGATGACTTCACACCCCAACATATGATTTGGTACAAATGTGATAACTCTGAAACCAATTGTGGCGATTCTGACATTATATTCCACAGCAACAAGTTAAACACCAAGGTTCAGTCTTTGTTCAAAGGACGGGTTTCATTGTTGGAGCCTGATGTGAGTCAGAGGAACTGCAGCATCATCATCAACGACCTCACCGTGTCAGACTCTGGAGCATATAGACTCAGAGTTGAACAGGCTGATACCCATGGATTCAAATTCTCTAGAAAAACAACTGTGACTGTTAAAGGTATGAAGCTCTGACAAAAGTTATAATGTAGATGTTGTTGTTTTTTTTACGCATTAACTGAACCAACACATCTTAATATTCTGTGGGCAACCAGTAGGAACTGCAGCATTTCCTGATTTAACTCATATTTATTAGTGTTAGTGTCTGATACTTATACTTCTTGGGAGTTAGGATATAAGTATCTGATATCTTTGCCTACATTCAATTGAATGATGACCTTCAGGCTGTTGACCTGATTTCACTAACAGACTGCTCTGTCTTTAGGTCTGACCCAGAAGCCCTCAGTGATGATTCCTCCTCTGACAGAGGGGCAGCCGACCACACTGACCTGCACTACTCCTGGTCTCTGTTCTGGATCTGATCCTAAATTCACCTGGACATGGAGAGGAGCAGGAGAGAAGGACTCTCAGATCACAGGAAACATCACTGCATTCAAGACTGAGAATCTGACTGCTGTCACACAGAGACACAGCACCACTCTGACCTTTAACCCTTCAGCTGAACACCACAACAGCAATGTTACCTGTAAGGTCAGCTTCACAAACAACATCAATGCAGAGGAGACTGTGACTCTTAATGTCAACTGTAAGTATCACATTTTACATTCTGATTCGTTAAAAAAGTCAAATCTAATCTGCCTCCCTTTTTTGAGACAATTGTTTATATCTCTCTCTCAAATGTCATTTATGTGTGTGACTTGACAGGATCCAAAGCTTTAACCTGTTTTAGTGCACCATATCATATCATATATCATATCGTATTTTATCAAAGGACTGGTAATCAATCGTAATATACCATTGAAGTTTGCGGTCATATTATAATCCATCATTTGACATCAGAACATTTTGGACAGAACATCTGTACGGCAACATATCTGAACAGCTTACTGACCAAAACAGTTGACGTAACATTTGAGTATTTTCCAAATGATTTTAGTCATTTAGTTATACTTGTATTCTTTCTGAGTATGTTTATTATCTGAGGGCATTTGCAAGAGTGTCAGTGTATTTAAAGTTAGTTATTGATGGTGATTTTATTTATTACATATTCGGCTCTTACCAACTTATTCCTTTAATTTAAATGATCACACATATTTACGCACTTTAAGCCCTGGAGATTTTCAGCCTCATCTTCGAACCGCATAAGGAATTATTCAAACAGTTTTTTTTAATGATTTGATAACTACGCTGCAATTTAATATTTTGTCAAATACCATTTAATGGTTTCTTTAATTGTTTCTTAAAGTTGTGAAGAAACCTGTGATCACTGGAATAACAACTGTGAAATATGGTGATGATTTGAATCTGACCTGCAGTGTTGAAAGTTTCCCTCCATCTGTTATCACATGGACTAAACATGATTCCTTCAAAAACGTGTCAAAAGAAACCAAAATCATCCTGCATAACGACACTGGAACAGCCACTCTTACCATCCGTAATGTAAAGTCGAATATTCTAGACTTTACGTCTTTACAGCAAAACACCAGATCCCTACTCTGAGTACACATGCTGAAGTTAATGTGACATGTGAGTAGGCTGTTCTAGCCTCCTTTTAAATATATCAATATCATTGTGAGTTGATATTGCAAGTTTTCCAAGGATCTTTAGTACCTCTGGAGGTTCAGTCTGAGGTTCTGACGTGTGTGTGTGTTTCAGTGAAGGTTTTCCTTTACCCACCATAAAATGGTCCCTGTTGCACACTCATACTGAATACTTTGTCACTACCAATTTCTCAAACTCAAACCATGCAGTTGGTGTAACATTATTAGTGCCATTTTCTTTCAATAGTTTATAGAATGTTATTTTCAGCTATCTTAATTATGGGAGGGCATTCGCAAACCAATGTTCATTTTGGGTATTAATAGAGATTTTCATTTGTACATATGGGCTCTAACCAATAAAATCCTTCTGTTCAAATGTCTCACCCACCCTAAGGCTCCAGCTGGTTTTCCGCCTTAGCTTGAACCACATTGAATTTACTAATTTATTCAATAGAGACGATGTAATTTAACGTTTTGTTAAACAAATTCTTATTTTTTGTCAAATTTTCTTAAAGATTTGAAGAAACCTGTGATCACTGGAATGACAACTGTGAAAGAGGGGGATGATTTGAATCTGACCTGCAGTGTTGAACGTTTCCCTCCATCTGTTATTACATGGACTAAACATGGATCCAACGGAAACCTGCCAAAAGAAACCAAAATCATCCTGCATAACGACACTGGAACAGCCACTCTTATCATCCCTAATGTGACAGCAGAATATTCTGGACTGTACGTCTGTACGGCAAAACTCCAGATCCCTCCTCTGAGTACACAGGCTGAAGTAAATGTGACATGTGAGTAGGCTGTTCTAGTCTCCTTTTAAATGCAATAATATCATCTTACTGTATGTTTGCTGTATTGCTCAAATCCCTTGTGGGTGTGTGTGTTTTTCAGTTCTTCCAAGGATCTTAAGTACCTCTGGATGTGTGGTTCAGTTGGAGGTTCTGACGTGTGTGTGTATCAGCGAGGGGTTTCCTTTACCCACCATCAAATGGCCGCTGTTAGACGCTCACACTGAATACTCTGTCAATACCAATTTCTCAAACCATGCAGTTCACATCAGCATTACTGTATCTGTAAAAGATCTCAACTACACCACTGTCGAGTGCATCAGCAGCAATGACATTGGGGAAGTAAAAGAAAACCTCAATGTTAGAGAATTTTTTTTAAAACTGGATGGTAAGTGCTGAAAACTAAAATACCTCCCCAACTTTAGACCACTGCTTTATGAAATGTTTAATACTTAAAAAAAATAAAGAAAACATCATATGTAGATTTAAGTCGATTTAAGTATCTTCCAACACAGGCATACATAAACAGGGATGTGCAGTATCTGAGTTTACAGCATTAATATAAATCTTGAAAAGTAATACAATCTACATGATGTCATTTCTAATAGCAGATCATCATGGACCATGTGAAGTGCTACTCTGGGTTGGCGTTGCTGCTGTATCTCTTATTGTAAATGTCATCTGCATAATCCTCATGATGTTCCTCTGGTATGTAACTACTGTATATTATCATGTAATGCTTTGAAGGCTCTGTCAATGCAGTACAGGCTTTTAGACAAACCTCATGTCTCACACTTTCTTCTTTTCATAGGCACACAAGAAAAAAGGTGAAACCAAACCAAGAGGACAGAACTTACATGTCAATCAAGAAAACAGAGGTGTCATCAGATTATGATGTTATCGCCCAGCCTCTGAACTAACAACAACAAACGTCAACTGAGTGCAGTAGGAGATGATTCTGCAAAACTCTGACAGATTGTCTAACTCATGGATTATGACATTTCTCAGTTAACTGCAACTTATTTTATTATTATTTTGTATACCTTACATTTCATGAAGCTTTACTTACCCAGGGGAAGATCGTGAAGCGTGCATATTCAGTGTAATCACAGTCTATTGTAGCTTGTGCTTCGCAGATTGATTAACCTCTGGAGATCTGAAAATGTTAAAACTTATATAATGTTTTTTTTATTAAAATGTTCATTTTTAATTGCATTTGTATCGTTATCAATCTGTAATATTTTCTGTCAGGTATGCGTAAAAAGGAAGAAATTATCATGAAAATCGCAGCCATTTCATTATATAGATTTATAAACATTCATCATGGAAGAACTACAAATATTTGTCCCAAAGAATATAACCTGAAGTCAGACTGAACATTTGTTACCACTCCATTATCATCAAAAATAAGTTAACAGATTTTGGTTGAAGGTTTCCCTTTGTAGCGTGAAAATTACTTATTCCCTTCACACTTCTTATGAGAGGATGTCATTTGTCTTTAGGAATGACTTTCAGATAGCTTTACTGAAATACACTTTGGAACAAAACTTGTTGAAGCTCCTTCATTATTTTTGTATGAATGTCTGAATGCATTAGATAAAAGCAGACATCAATAATAGCTACACAATAAAACATATACTACTTAAAATTCACAGCCCCAAATAAATACATAGCCTACATGGAAGCTAAATATGTATTTTGTTGTGTTTAAATGTGAGAACATGTGAAGTAAAATGTGTGTTTTTTAAATGTGTTATCATCAGTTCAAGATGAGTCTTTCTATGTTATTTCCTTGTGTTTTACTTGATGCTGATTGGTTGAGATCTCTGGGCCACCATATTATGGAGCCAATAACGTCAAGTCTTCTGAGGGCAGTTTCATTTGTTGATTAGTGACTTCATGTGCAGGTGTGGATAATCACTGACACTCTGGCCCAATTCCAAACTTCCCCCTACCCACTTCTACTCGGTGACAGAGTGAACTCCGTCTGAAGTCACACTCACAGCTGAATGAGGCTCCCTTTTTTCAGGTTGGGGGTGTAAATACAGCGGGAAGCTTTGGGACGAACTCCCCTCTTTCCGGCAGAAACAGGAAATGCTGTCACTTTTTGTAACATTGGTTTCATATCAGCATCTATTAGACAAACATGTATAAAACAATAACCAAAATAAAACTCCAAAAATCTTTAATTAATGCCGTTTTTATTTGTTTACATTACAAAAAACATAAACGTTCTTCTGAATTACACAAAATATAAATGTGTAGTATTTGTATGCACTAATTTAATAGATATATTAATATGACGTTCATTGTTCAGTCAGACACACTTTCTACAAGGGTTTGACCTTGTAGAAAGCTGCTGTTTTGCTGCTCATACTGTAACTCAGATCAAACCTTTATGATACAAATAGATGCACATTGTGGTGGAATAAAGTATTTCCAGTGTCGAGCCTTTGTTCAAAATTATTGTAATTATACTAGGATTTTAAATGAAACCCTCCCCTTCACCCTGTGTAGGAAAGAGGTTTCTGTTTTTCAACGTCACTCTAGGAATGTCCTCGTCCGTCTGTCTGTCAGCTCTGGTTTGTAAGAACTCTTTAGACCCGACTAAGATATCTCTGATAATGTTAGTATTGTTTCATCACAGACTTGAAAAGCAGAAATCTCTACCTTGAACTTTTATTTTCTGCATTATTTGATGTATATGTCATATATGTATAAATATGGAGGCTTGATAAATTGCAAATCATTTCAAAATCTGTTTTAAACATCTTATCATCTTTTCATGTGGTCAGTTTTCTCAAACGGATAAAAGATATAGCAAGTTTGGTTTCTCAAGCCATGTTAGCAGTGGCGACTGGTCATTAGGGTCAGGTGGGGCACAGCCCCACCTAGTGTCAGCAGAAAGTATTACAAATAATGATTACAAAAAATGCAAAAAATAAATTAAAAAATATATAAAATATATTTTAAGATCATGGTTAATCATCTGATTCGTCTGTACATTGCTGTTTTAGTCTGTGTTCTTCTAATTAGTGTCTACAGTGTGTGCCTATTGAGCTGTTTAGAGCCATGTGGGACAAAACCTGATCTTGCCCTTCCCTCTCACTGTCTAAGGCCACATTTACACGAGAACGAAACGGCTTGTATCTGCATAGTTTCTCTTGCGTATAGCCCTATTATTTACACAAGGCCGTAACAAACGGACCCCACAAACGATAACGGGTCCCAAGGTGGATAGATTTGCAAACGAAACGCTCTGGGGGGTCAAACGAGTCCGTGTAATCGCCTCTATACGAATATTTCCTGAAAAAATAACGATAGCCCCACGTCTCCCCGCCTCTGCTGCTCACTGCTGTAGCATGGCCAGTAGCTACTGTCAGTAGCTACTGCTAGTGCTACTGCTACTGACCATGCTACTAGGGTGGCCATCCGTCCGGTTTTAGGTCGGACAGTCCGGTTTTCAATGTCTGTGTCCGTCTGCCGGCGCAGCCTTGAGCCGGACGCTCATTTGTCCTCCTTTTGAGGTCATCCCTATTTTATACTTTTAGGGTATAAAAAAAAATAGACAATTATACAAAGAAATACAAAAAATAAGTTATGTGTAAGTATATATCCCCGTAAGACTTGTGGTCTTACAAATTATTGGCTGAATGCGATGTCAAATAAATATCTTGTATTTCATTGGTTAATAAACGTAAACAATTAGCCATGTGCTTCTTGACGTCACGTTCACGGCAGGGCACTGTGGCACAGAGTGAAGTTAGCCTCGCCGACTAGCTCATGAGCCAACTCCACCTAGTTAGCGGTAGGGTTAAACCGCAGAAATGCCGAAACGAAAGACTTCATTTAATCCTGAATGGTCGAAAGAGCATGGATTCCTCACAAAAAGTCGAAAGGACGACTTCCATGCTTTTTGCACGTTGTGTCGTTGCGATGTGGACGTAAGCAGCAAAGGAAAAGGTGCTGCTACTCTGTCCAGACGCATGTGGATTATATAAAAGAAAATGAACTGCATTATTCAGTGGCAAGTGATGCATCAAACAAAGGTACGATCAAGTGTTTCCCCATTGTACTGAGATATTTTCACTTTGAGGAGGGCGTGCAACATGCACTGTTGGATTTTTACAGTGATAGCAACGAAAAGTCAGAAGCTATAACAAATCAGTTGCTATCTAAACTGGAGATGTCTGGACTAGATGTGAAAAAAATGTCAGCATATGCAGCAGACAACGCCAGCGTTAACTATGGAAAACACAACAGTGTTTATCAGAAACTGAAACTGGCTCAAAAAGACGTGCTCGCTGCAAACTGTTTAGCCCATATTCTGCACAATGCAACAAGATATGCAGCAAGCAACTTGGATATTGACATTGAAAATGTTGTGCTTAAGGTGTATAGCCATTTTAGCATCTCAGCTAGCAGAACGGCGCAGTTGAAGGAATTCTGCGAGTTTGTGGAAGTGGAGGAATGCAATAGTGATGTGTCGGTCGCGAACGAGCCGATTCTTTTGAACGGCTCTTTGGTACGAACGAGGGGATGCGAGTCCTACTTGGTGAGAGCCGTTCTTGTTATCGTTCAATCGTTGGTCCGCACTCACTGCCTGCCAAAATCCACTCGCCTTTTAAATAGCTTGATTTTGTTCCCCAAACGTATTCTGTGAAGATCCGCCCCTACTCTGTTTGGTAGGTTTCAGCCTTCTTATTATACATCCATGGTTTCAGCACGAGGAGTGAGATGGGGTGGGTGTTAACGGAATACACGAGAGAGAGAAGTCATAACAAGTGGTACAAGACAGGTAGACAACGTGTTTTTCGGATGGAAAATGAGCCAAACGCGAAAACGCAGCAGCATTTGGATTCACTTCAACCAAAACCCAGGCAGTGATAAAGCGCACCATTTGTAAAGGCAAAATATCCTTTAAAGCAGGATCAACAAATAATCTCCATCGCCACTTAAAAACACAGTATCTAATATTAAGAGTTGCATGAATTTCATTCAAGGCAAGGCAACTTTATTTACTTAACACATACAGAGGGTAAATTCAAAGTACATTCACTGACATGATGACATGGATATGGCGCCACCTTGTGTCATGTTTACAATGCCGATTATTGACATTAGGTCTGGCAATGCAGTCAATCATTATCCTGGTGATTATTTTGCAAATAAACCTAGTAACCTTCAAAAAACGGCTCTTTTGAACGGCTCTTTGAAAGGAACGGAGCCATAAGATCCGGCTCCCTTCAAAGAGCCATAATTCCCATCACTAGAATGCAATCTGCTGCGGCACGTTGTCACGAGATGGTTGTCTCTGCTGCCATCTATTGACAGAATCCTGAAGTGTTGGAGACCCCTGACCAGCTACTTTCAGAGTCTAGGTGAGGAGGAATGCTCCAAGATTTTGTGGAAATGCTTTGGAGAGGATGGCAACGAAGTATCTGAGATGTATTTTCTCTTCCTCAGTCACATTCTGAAAGTGTTTTCAGACTGCATTGAAGCACTTGAGGCCAAATCATTCAGCATAACCTCTGTGTTTAAGGTAATGACTGAACTGAAAGGGAAACTTGAGAGAAGGTTAAAGGACACATTTTTTGGCTTTGCTGTGAACAACAAACTCAAGCAGCTAACCCCTGATCTGGCAAAGAAATGTGAGGCTGATTTTCTTGTTTTCTATGAAAGAGCCAAGAAATACGTGAGTGAAAGGTATGACTTCTCTGAGAACAGCTTTCATAGTAAAGTGCCAAAGCTTGGCCTCACAACTGCTGTGTCCTATGGAGAATACAGTGATGCAGTCCAAGCCTGCAGCCTGAAAGACATTGGATGGACTCTATGAGGAATATGGCATGGTGGAAGCTATTCTCAGCTCTTCAGAAATGGAAGGATGCCACAGTGAGGAGCGGTATCTCAAACTGTTTTCCAAAGCAGAAGTCCCACTTGTGAATCTGAGGAAGGTCAGCGCCTACATCTTCTCCATCCCATGTAGCAATGCCCATACAGAACGTGTGTTCTCAATGATGACCTCAGTATGGAGAAATGAGAGAAATCGTCTGGATGTGGACAGTGTCAAGGCAGAGCTGCAAATTTGTGTCAACTTCACATTTGAGTGCACAGACATGTACCAGAGACTCCTTACAAACAAAAAACTCTTGGAAGCAGCCAGGAAAGGGCAAAAGTATCGAAAATAGACATTCAACTTGTGGTTAGTACACTAGTCTTATTGTGTTTTGAGTGTGAAGGATTCAGTGAAGCCAGGATAAAAACTAAAAGATAATCCCAAAGTGTCCTCCTTTTTGGTGTTATGGAAATGGCCACCCTACATGCTACAGATGTTAGTACAACATCTACAGTTCGACCATGCTACAGATGTTAGTGCAAAATCTACAGCTCCTCTACCACAACCATCAGCAACAAGTGGACATGGAGAATTACATGAACTACAACATGTTGCTAAATCCACTGCGGGGCATAAACAGAAGGGTAGCCATGGCAACATTGCTGCGGGGCTGCTCCGGGGTCTTCTTCGCTGCTTTTGGTGTATTTTGTGGCGGAAGTTACAGCGCCACTTACAGTCCCGGCATATGTACTACAGCGTTTCCAGCGGTCTCGTTTGAACAGACACGTTAAATTAAACGAATGCATGTGAACGGAAGACTTTTTTGAAAGCGCATAGGCCTACTGTGCATAAACGCAAACGTTCCCGTGTAAAAGCAGCCTAAGGCTGCGTTTCACTTCTCTTATTTTTCATTTCCTCGCTCCTCGGTCTCTGTCTCACCGGAAGTTGATTTGTCTGCGCCATCTTGAGTAGCGTCCCAATGGCCTTATTTTTGCCGGAGGACCGAGGAGCGAGGAGCGAGGAGCGATAATGGAGGAGCTATAATCGAGGAGCTATAATCGAGGAACCACCAGACCATCCTTCGATGAAATCCTCAGACACTTGCCCCGACCCCTTACTGTGTATCGCTCACTGATTGGACGATGCAGCGCATGCAATGATCTGATGCTTCTTGACATGAGAGCAGTTTCCCAGCGGAGTGAAGAAAACACATGAAACTCACGGGACTCACTCCTCAGTTTATACCGTGTTTTGTTTCAATTAATGTATCATTTAGTTACAAATATGTGATATATCTGAACAACAAAGTGGTCAAAAATAATTTTATTCATTTATTGGAAACATTTTCATGATCGCTTTTTTCGTTTTACATTTTCACTTAATGTCAGTCATTAAGTGCTATTTAAAATGTTAATTTGCTACATATCCACACAAACAAACTAAGTGTGCAATCCAATGAATATTAATCTAACTGGGTTTTGATAGATAACATATCTCTTTTTCTTCTCTCAATTATTTTATTTCTATTGTGCACTCTAATCAATATTAATCAAACTAATGTTCGTTTATACATTTTAAGAATGGCGTTTATCGTTTTTGAGAATGAGTTCTTATTTGATTTTATTTATTTGGGTCTACAACAGATGATACAAATGTTTGTGTCAGTAAATGTGTACTAACAGAGGCGGGGGTGTTTGTGAAAATAACGGGGACAGAGCTGCTGTCAGACGAACAGCTGTGCGGTGTCATCACAAACGGACGTCGCTTCACGTGACGCTCCGGAGGAAAGGACGTCCCATTGCTCTTGTCACTACCCGATCGGTCCACCTGCCCGATCTGTACTGCGCATGTGCGAGATGGTCCGCCATATTGGACAACTACATACGGCAACTCTACTAGGACACTTGACACAGTGGCTTTTGGCAAAGCAGAAAAAGAACTGAGAGAGATTATTGTTATTACAACGTGACTTCACTATTATTTAACAACTCTTTTCATTGGGTTCTTTTATTTGGGGTTAAGTACATTGTCAGAATAAGTGAGAAATGGATTTAACTTCTGTTAGACAGCTATCATACTGAATAAATATTTACTCTGAATGTATGCAAAAATGTATGGCATATAGCTGTCTAACAGAAGTTAAATCCATTTCTCACTTATTCTGGCAATGTACTTAACCCCAAATAAAAGAACCCAATAAAAAGAGTTGTTAAATAATAGTGAAGTCACGTTGTAATAACAATAACTCATCTCTATCAGTTATTTTTCTGCTTTGCCAAAAGCCACTGTGTCAAGTGTCCTATTAGAGTTGCCATATGTAGTTGTCCAATATGGCGGACCATCTCGCACATGCGCAGTACCGATCGGGCAGGTGGACCGATCGGGTAGTGACAGCTCTTAAAACTCATTTCCCTGCTTCTCGTGGTTTCCTTGCGTCTCTCCATGCTTCCCTGGTGGGAGGGACTAGTCGCAGGGAAACGACGCAAGAGAGGGACGCAAGGAATCCATTTAACCGAAGTGAAACGCATCCTAAGTGAACGGTGACTATAAAAACTACACTGCGCATGCTCAGAGTATTTTCCTATTTAATGTGTGTGGCAAAAAAATAATGACCATAGGGGCACTGAGCTGCCATCCCCACCATACGTCATCTCACATAATTCAGAGCTGATTGGCTGTAAGTACGTGTGCTGCGAAAAGTGTGGTGTGTGAAGAGGAGACGAGAGAGCTGGGTTGCGGTCGAATAGTCCATTTAGCTTAGGAACCTTCCTAAACGAGTGAAATGACCCTGGAGGGCCCTCAGTGGCAGCCATGATAAGTGCCGTTCGAATTCTCTAAATGAAAGGAAAGGAGGTTTCAAACTTCCTTTATAACCTCCTTTAGCTTAGGAACCACTGGACCTCCCTAACCGAAAGGAGAGGAGAAAATGCTGCCCCACAATGCCTTGCGGCCGCGGCATTTTCCGTCACACAACAATCGGCCGTTCACGGAAACAACCGATTATGAACGAGAAATTATATCATGAAAGTTACGGTGCTTATTAAGCTTTTTAAAACGTATGTGGTAAGTTGCCAAAGTGCTTTGTTTTGAACGTTCATCAGTATTATAATCAAAAAGAGAAATATGAACATTAGTTTTTACTGAAATGATCAAATAAAGTCAACATTTCACAGTCTTTACTGAGCTGTGTGGGGTTTGTTCAACTTTTAAAAGATGTTTGAATGGTGATATACACAGTGATAGATGTTAAGGACTAACGTTTATAATAAATACATTTGTATTGATTTTAAGATATTTTCATACAATCATACGTAGGCTATTGGGATCATTTGTATTAATGTGGACCGGAGGGAGAGGGTGACGAGCATAAGTTTCACTTTCCTTTTTTATTTCAATTCCAACTTTGGTCATGAAGAATATGTTTCTCTGTTGTCGCCGTTCATAAAGCATAAAGCAACAGCATCAGAGCACAGTGCAGAGTCTCTAGATGAGTTTACAGTAGTCCCTCGTTCTTATTAAACATCCATGTTGTAGTCCGCTGTATAGAAAACTGTAGTTTCCATAGTTTCCGCACAGCAGCAGACGCACATTTATGACGTCCGCTGGCGCATCATAAACACGTCGGATAGTGAAAGTGCAGTCGGATTCTCTAAAGTACCGCAGTCTCTTCTCCTAAATCCTTTTGAATTCTCCTATCCACTATCCCTTAACCCCGTGACGTTTCACTCAGAGGTCAAGGAATAGACGATAGGGTTGGAACTTAGGAGCTGATTTTTGGACTATTCGACCGCAACCCTGCAGTGACGCGTCCTAAAACCCGGAAGTAAGCTGCGCATGGCTTCCCTCGACAAAAAAGCAATGAGATTTCTCCATAGGATTTTAGAAAATAGCTCGAAATAAGATCTGTGGGAAACGTACCTGTTAGATAAATGCACGTTTTGTTCAGCCGGATAATATCCACATGTCTATCCTACTTTTATAATTTTTTAATCATAAATCTATCGATAGATTTATGATAGACTTTTGAAACTACAAGAAGAAAAGGAAATGTAATAGAAATGTTTGTCCAGAAGGATAGGCACATGGACTTCATCTTCAAGTCAAGGTAAGACCGCAATTTTATTGAAAATGGGATCTTACTAAGAGAGAACAATTCAATATTTAAATGATACAATTACATTTTTTGGGTATCCTTTTGTTGAACTGTCTGTTTAAAATTAATTGAAGCATCAGACAAAAAAAGCTTTTGAAAATAATATTATATTTTGGTTTAGGTTAAAATATAATATTTGTAAACCTGAAGAGTCAGTGCCAGTGCCTCACCAGACATGAACCTCACTGCACGTCACTGCAGAAGCTTATATATAGACATCTAAGTTTTTTGTGCCCCACCACTTTTGTACATATAAAAACGCCACTGTATGTTAGTGTTCTTGTTTAAGGCGTTCGATTTGCTTCCCTTTTTTGTATGCCTTATGAGTCTGCTTGAGTGAACAATAGGCCTATCTTGTTTGTTTGTTTGTTTATTTGTATTATTTCATTAAAAAGAAAAAACCCTTCATGTTGGGGATGAAGTCACTGTGTGGTTAGTAAAAACGAAACCTTTCTTACTACAGAACCTGTAAACGTTGCAAATACAGCAAACGTGACAGTTCAATAATCAGGCGTAACTGATAATGAAAAAACTGTTGTCTGTCCGTAGCTTTAAAAATAGGTCATCATGTAGCAGCTTGAAGTGTCAAGGGGAAGTGGGTTTACAATGATGCCATAAAAGGCAATGTTTGAATGAATAACCACTTCAGTGACTTTTCCGAGAACTTAAAATAAGGCGTTGCACAAAAAACAAAAATATCAAAACCATAGCGTTACAAGCACAGGTTATAAGGCTGCATGCAGTTAAAACAGTTACTAGGTTTTAAACAATACTTTTTATCTTTAGGTGTTAAATGCACTTATTTTATTATTATTAAAAACCAAATAATTAAACAAATTACTATTTTAAATGGGACATCATTATTTAACTGCAGATATTAACACGTAATACAGATCATTGAGATGCATGCACATTTCACTCTGGGAATAACGTGTTTTACATTACAATGTAGAACGATGGTTTGTATATAAGATATTTGTTTTTCTTCTAACATAATATTCTGATGCACGCTCATGGTACTACCGCTTTCTCAACGTTTTTCACATCTTTCGGTCATGATAAACCATTTAAATAGACTTGCTCACTTCAAGATGTTTTATTTACTGTAAGATGCTCATTATCATCAAATACACATACTGCATGATATCTGTGATATTTGATCTCTGAGATATTTCATATTTTAGCTTCAAGTGTAGTAGTCTAGCTGGGCTAATTTGTAAAGAAGCTTCCTGGAACTATTTGAAGTGCAAAAAGGGAAGAAGTACAAAATGAGGAAGGAGAAGAGGAAGAGTCAGAGCAGAGAAACTCATGAGAACACCGGAGAGAAGAGAGCAGCGGAGAAATGACAAAAAGAGGTGAAACCCAACATTTACCTTTTTTAAATATTTAAGATATCGCTGTGAATTGTAAATATATTCAAATAAGTCATTTTTTCTTTATTAATGTCATAAAATGCTTTGAGAATTCAGCACTTTAAATAAGTGAGTTTGCATTAAATGTGCTGGATTGTAGATGAAGCTGCTTCAGATAATTCAAGTTGACATGGCAGCTGTTTGTAGCAGATGCAACAAAACGTTAGGAAATAAAACATTTCAAGAGACTAATAATCCTGAAGCAGATCTTAGCCACATTTATTAATGTTACTTCAGGAGATGCAACACCGTGTATCTGAAGCTGTGCTGGCAATGTTGGAGTTGTTCTTGTTCCAGTCTTATCCACTGAAATATTTGAGAGTTTTGTTTATTTTATGTATTTATTTGTTTATGTTTTTAATTCTTCAAATGATAGAGACGGTCTGTCGACATCATCGAATCAGGATGTTTGTTCTTATCTGGGGGATTCTGCTCTCATCAGGTATGTGTCTTTATTATAATATCGTGATGCCAACAAAAAAAGCTATGAATAAAATAATAATTTCCTATAACTTTATATTTGTAGTATTTCTCACAGCATCTATTTAATACACATTGAAACTCTGTGATGAACATTCAGTTACATTCAGTTATGCGAGACATTTTTATTTTAAATTATTGTGGTTTTAAAAACATGATAAATGCTGAAATTCTGTCATGTCTGTTTAGTGTTGCTTTCTTTTACCATTTATTTAATATCAGGGTGCATTGGGTTTGTGTTTATAAAGATCTCCTTTCTCTGTTTTTGTCTCAATGTTTTTTTAACAGGTGCATCAGTTTGGGGAAAACAACACTGTCAAATTCCCGACTACTGTATCACTAGTGATGCAGATATAACAGCAGAGGTTGGACTCTGTGTCGTGATACCGTGTTCCTTTACTATTCCTACGAGCTTTACACCCCAACATATGATTTGGTACAAATGTGATAACTCTGAAACCAATTGTGTCGATTCTGACATTATATTTAACACCAAGAGGAAGAACCAGGTTCAGTCCAGCTTTGTGGGACGGGTTTCATTGTTGGAGCCTGATGTGAGTCAGAGGAACTGCAGCATCATCATCAACGACCTCACCGAGTCAGACTCTGGAGCATATCAGTTCAGAGTTGAAAAGGGTGATGCCAAGGGATTCAAATTCTTTAGAAAAACAACTGTGACTGTTAAAGGTATGAAGCTCTGTAGATGTTGTTGTTTTTTGTACGCATTAACTGAACCAACACATCTTAATATTCTGTGGGCAACCAGTAGGAACTGCAGCATTTCCTGATTTAACACATATTTATTAGTATTAGTATCTGATACTTATACTTCTTGGGAGTTAGGATATAAGTATCTGATATCTTTGCCTACATTCAATTGAATGATGACTTTAAGGCTGTTTAACGGATTTCACTAACAGACTGCTCTGTCTTTAGGTCTGACCCAGAAGCCCTCAGTGACGATTCCTCCTCTGACAGAGGGGCAGCCGACCACACTGACCTGCACTGCTCCTGGTCTCTGTTCTGGATCTGATCCTAAATTCACCTGGACATGGAGAGGAGCAGGAGAGAAGGACTCTCAGATCACAGGAAACATCACTGCTCTCAAGACTGAGAATCTGACTGCTGTCACACAGAGAAACAGCACCACTTTGACCTTTAACCCTTCAGCTGAACACCACAACAGCAATGTTACCTGTAAAGTCAGCTTCACAGACAACATCACTGCAGAGGAGACTGTGACTCTTAATGTCAACTGTAAGTATCTCATTTTACATTCTGATTTGTTCAAAAAGTCAAATAAAATCTTCCCCCTTTTTTGAAATAACTGATTATTTCTCTCTCAAATGTCATTTATTTGTGTGACTTGACAGGATCCAAAGCTTTAACCTGTTTTAGTGCACCTACTCATATCATAGATCATATCGTATTTTCTCAAAGGACTGGTAATCAATCGTAATATAACATTGAAGTTTGCGGTCATATTATAATCCATCATTTGACATCAGAACATTTTGGACAGAACATCTGTACGGCAACATATCTGAACAGCTTACTGACAAAAACTGTTGACGTAAAATTTGAATGTTTTCCAAATTATTTTAGTAATTTAGTTATACTTGTATTCTTTCTGAGTATCTGTATTATCTGAGGGCACTTGCAAGAGTGTCAGTGTATTTAAAGTTAGTTATCGATGGTGATTTATTTCTTACATATTTGGCTCTTACCAACATATTCCTTTAATTTATATGATCACCCAAAACACCAGATCCCTACTCTGAGTACACATGCTGAAGTAAATGTGACATGTGAGTAGGCTGTTCTAGTCTCCTTTTAAATATATCAATATCATTGTGTGTTTGTTCGATCCCTTGAGTGTTTTCAAGTTTTCCAAGGATCTTTAGTACCTCTGTGGTTCAGTCGAAGGTTCTGACGTATGTTTGTGTCAGTGAAGGTTTTCCTTTACCCACCATCAAAAGGTCCCTGTTGCACGCTCATACTGCATATTTTGTCACTACCAATTTCTCAAACTCAAACCATGCAGTTGGTGTAACATTATTAGTGCCATTTTCTTTCAATAGTTTAAAGAATGTTATTTTCAGCTATCTTAATTATGGGAGGGCATTCGCAAACCAATGTTCATTTTGGGTATTAATAGAGATTTTCATTTGTACATATGGGCTCTAACCAATAAAATCCTTCTGTTCAAATGTCTCACCCACCCTAAGGCTCCAGCTGGTTTTCCCGCCTTAGCTTGAACCACATTGAATTCACTAATTTATTCAATAGAGACGATGTAATTTAACGTTTTGTTAAACAAATTCTTATTTTCTGTCAAATTTTCTTAAAGATTTGAAGAAACCTGTGATCACTGGAATAACTACTGTGAAAGATGATGATGATTTGAATCTGACCTGCAGCGTTGAAAGTTTCCCTCCGTCTGTTATCACATGGACTAAACATGGTTCCATCAAAAACCTGCCAAAAGAAACCGAAATCATCCTGCATAACGACACTGGAACAGCCACTCTTATCATCCCTAATGTGACAGTAGATTATTCTGGACTGTACGTCTGTACAGCAAAACACCAGATCTCTACTCTGAGTACACATGCTGGAGTTAATGTGACATGTGAGTAGGCTGTTCTAGTCTCCATTTAAATGCAACAATGTCATCTTACTGCATGTTTGCTGTATTGTTCAAATCCCTTGTGTGTGTGTTTTTCAGTTCATCCAAGGATCTTCAGTACCTCTGGATGTGTGGTTCAGTCGGAGGTTCTGACGTGTGTGTGTATCAGCGAGGGGTTTCCTTTACCCACCATCAAATGGCCGCTGTTAGACGCTCACACTGAATACTCTGTCACTACCAATTTTTCAAACCATGCAGTCAACATCAGCATTACTGTATCTGTAAAAGATCTCAACTACACCACTGTCGAGTGCATCAGCAGAAATGACATTGGGGAAGTAAAAGAAAACCTCAATGTTACGAGACAAGTGGTAGCACAAAAACCAAAGGGTAAGTGTTGACAGCTAAAACCTCTCCCAACTCAAGACCACTGTTTTATGACATTTTCATTACCTATTTAAACATTGTTTGACAAAGAGCAGTGATCACAGCTCTTATTTATTTGAATAATCTGTTGTTCTCTTTTCCAGATCTCCCCGAACATTTTTTTATGACTTTTAATCTGCCGCAACTCATCATTGCATTTTTGATTGGGATACTTGTTTCAACATCCATCTGCTGTTTGGGCAGAAAATGCCAGAGGTACACATTTTACTTTGCTATGTTCCTTTTTGACATTTATGCAATACTGTTGAGAGTCTTTAAGCAATATATCTAAAAACAGAACAGAAGTTGCCTGGTAAGTAGTAAAAACAAAAAAGAGAAGAAAATTGGTTAGCAGTTATGATTACCTGAATAAATGTTTTAATAATGTTCATCAATTGTGGGCTGAAGCATTCTTAATAAGAAGTTTGGTCCTTTTTGAAGACTTGTAAAAATGATTGATTATTAATTGTTATTAACTTTTGCTTCTGTTTATTTAATTTTTTCTCCAGAAGAAAACAGACGAACGCTGAGACTCTGGAGTTGGTAACTACTCAAGCTGCTCCATTGCCATTTATATTGATACAGCTGGCTTTAATATATAAATTCATTAAATATTTGATTAATTATTAGTCTTGTGATCAGAAATGCTCTGCCATGATTTTCTTTTTCATTTAACTTCAAATTGCAGAAACTTTAATAGTCATATGCAGTTTCCCGCTGGAAGATCAGAAGAAAATATATTTGATATGTATATCATGGAAAGACTTTGAAACTTGTTGGCAGTTGAAAAAAGTTATATATGATTTGTAGTCAGCCCATGACTGGAAAGTTTGAAATGTTTTGATATCTTAACATATTGTATGTTACTGATAAATTGTCTGGTTTGTATCGGCTGGCAAATCACATTATTTTGTACATGTATTTCTACCTGACAGATCAGTGCCCAAGACGAAGAGGCAGCTGAAGGAGGAGCTGTGGCTCCACCAAACGATGACGGGGTACCAAGAGAGGTGGAATACTCTAACATTGACTTCAGCTTGTTGAAAATAAAGTGTCCCAATGGGCCAGAGGCTACTAAAGAGACCACAGAGACAGAGTACGCTGAAGTTAAAAAGAAAGGGAAGAGACAAGACGATGGTGGACAGGATGGTGAAAAGGTGGAGGGCAACGAAGAGGAAGAGGTGATGTTAGTGGGAGACAAAGAGGTAGAACAGTGCATGTCTGCAGAGGAGGTGGAGGGGGGTCAGGATATGGCATTGTACTCAAATTTGAATGAAATAATGGGTAAGGTTTGAGCACAGTGTGGCTTGAAATCACAAAATGATACATGTTTAAAAAAGGGTTTTCAGTGCAAACACAATGGGTGATTAAACATTGGCGTAACATGCATGCAGTTAAACAAGAACTACAAGAATATTGCATGTTTTTACAGACTAGAAAGTATGTTTCCAATCGATTTGACATGTTAATAATAATAATAATAATAATAAATGGAATTTATAAAGCGCCTTTCACGGGACCCAAGGTCGCTGTACATGGTGGACAGACAAAACAAAACAGACAATGAGGAGCGAACAAAACAAGAACAAAAAATGTTATTGAAAAACCTTTTAACAAAGCACTGTGCTTTCAGCATGAAATGAAATTAACCGACCTTATCAAGCCAAACCATTTTTTTTGTTGTAAACTAACCGCTATCTTAGGTTACACCTATTCCATATGCAAAACATTTTTAATCCTCACAGTTTCTGCTTCACATGGCCGACCCCCTATCCACCCACTCTGAACTGCATGTACATTTTATCATCTAGAATTATTGGCTTTTTGTAGCAGTTAGGCTTTCCATTATAATGCATTGTTATGTTTGTAGAAATGCATGCAGCTATTATTGCATATATCATTACTATGGAGACATTGAAGTAGGTCTTATTATTGTATTATAGGGTTTCTTTGTTCAAATGTTGTTTTCTTCTGCTGTTTATTATTCCATTGAGCTTTTCCAAACAACTTTCTTTTGTTCATGAAAATGATTATAGTGCTGGTGTGCAAGGAGAGGGCATGTTAGCTCTGTTTGTACCAAAGTCTGCATTTTTACTTTTAGATTGTAGAGTAAACAGGTTTTGATTATGTAGTATGTGAATATATGTACATATAATGTCCCATTTGCAGTTGTGTATAGCTTATACAACTTATTTACTTTTTATATTACTTAAAAAATAACCATGTAAGCAGAATTCTATTAATTTAATTGACAATGTGTTTTATTGCCATTAAGAAACTGTATGTCGAAGTGTTTTTTGTTAAGAATGTGATTGTTTGAACTGTATGTGTCACATGGCAATGTATTTTAATGATTCATTATTGCATGGTTTTAAGTGTGTGTGTTTTATACCTTTTTATTGTGTGATTTTACTCTGAAATGTGTTTGCCTTTTTAACTGGTTTTAACTTCCTGCTGCATGCTTTTATTTTGAAATGTTTGGATTGGCCTTGCCATGCTGATTGGCAATGAGTGACCACACCTGGGGCCAATTTACACCAACAGCCCTGCCTATAAAGGGAAGGAGAAGAGCAGCAGAGGACAGACTGAGACTGGGAGAAAGTGAAGGAGACAGCAGAGGCAGAACGCAGCACGCAGCAGGAGCAGAGGCACACGCAACCAAGGGATTAAGAGACTACGGCAGTCCAAGAGAGGGTCGACGGAGCACCTTTACAGCGCTGGAAAGACTCTGGTTTTGAGAAAAGACTTTTAACCCTTTTAACATTTGAATTATTTGTATTTTAACTGCGTTTAATTGTATTTTAAAATAGTTTTAGACTATCTTTTTACTGAGATTATATTTTAGACGGCTCTGATTTTAGATTTCTTAGTCAAGTTTTTATGTTTTACTGAATAAATTATTGTGTTTTAAACTTAGTAGTTGGCTCCTTGATTACCCAGTTTTGCTCTCTACCTGATTTAAAAGAACCCTTTCCCTCTCCATAAATTATTACCCCTCCCCCGTCCTTTACATATGCCATGATCCAAGTTAACAAAATGGTAGCATATACAGAAGTTCAACATTTTAACTGTTTTATACTGTACCTGAGAGTTGGAGGAGAATAGCAAATCAATTCACATGTCTGTGCTAATATGAAGCTATAGAGCCAGCAGACTTAGCTTAGCTTAACCATTTTAAATGGGGGGGGGAAAAAAGCTATTTCAACTCCATGTGAAGTTTAAAATAATCCTCAAAAGCACACAATGTAAGAACTTAGTACAAAGATAAAAGAACAATTTGTAGTTTTAGGACCACTACTAACTATGTCCAGCCGGCTGCACCAGCTGTTACAATTGAGGAAGTCTGAACCAGGATGTCTGTTGGGTGAATGTTTTCCTTTTTCATTTACATTTGACTCATTGTTATAAAGCATGTATTAAAGCAGTTAACTTTAACTAACTATTAGCATAACAGAGAAACTGCGCAACCTTAACTTGAAGTCCAATTACTTTGAACTAACTCGCATATATATTTAAAGGATGCTTAACACTGTCTTCTGCGGTCACAAACACAGGAAATACTTTTGTGAGAGGGTGAGTCTAAAATAACGTGTGAAACACCACCCAGATGTCGGATGGTTTGCATGCTGGGTTCTAAAAAGGGAAGAAAGAAGCTTTTCTAACAAGAGTACATTACACCACTTCCTCACATTTATTAACTTGACTTTGTTCCTCTTTATTGGTAAAGCCTTCAGTATATGGCCAAACCCAACATTCATGTAACGATGGTTTTCATAGTAAAGAAAATGAAACTTGTCATATTAAACATTGTGATTTTTGGGTATCATTAATTAAGGAGGCAACTCTCTTGAAGTTATGTGTATAAAACTTATATCAACTATTTATACCTAAATTACAAAATGTGTGGCTGGTCCTTTTATTTCAGCAACCTTTGAGACACTTCCTACACTTAAAAACAAAGACACTTGTTTTATGCTTTCAGTTTAATGTATTCATACTCTATACTTATTTGGGCACTTTTGTATTTATTTTCACTATTGAAATTGAGGTACATAAAAAATGAAACACATTTGCTAAAGTTCTTCATGGTCCTACTGATGAGATTTGGCCACATATTCCTTTCTGCATGACTGTAATGCTTATTAGTGAAACATTGCAGTTTAATAATAAAAACAATGGGGCTATTCAAATGACTCTTTATTTAAAAAGTGTATGTTTTCGTTATGTGCTTCTTCTTGAAGGCTTTGAAAAGTACAGTTTAACATATACCCAAAGTGGGCATGTGCTCAGAGGGATTTTGGATTAAGGCTAAACTAACAGGATTACAAATGTCCCACTCGCTGGACAGCTTTAAATAGATCAACCTGACGCTGCTTGTGCTTCAGAGCTGCAAAAGAGTCAAGATTTGACAACCAAGAACACATTTTTCAACCTCACGGCTGCTTCTCAAGACCTGTAGGTGAGTGTGTGCAGTTTGTAATAAATTTAAATAGGAAAAAATGACATATTTGAGAGGTTCGAACACGGTGAATTATCTGAATAACAGAAATAATCAACAGGATTAGTGATACTGATAGCAATAAACATTTCCTGATTTTTCTAAAGACCTTCGGTTGTGAAATGTACTTTTATTAACACACCATGTAAACCTTTAGTTCAGTTCTAAACATTGTGTGCACCAGTGTTGAGTGAGATGGTTTCCTGTGACACCAGAAATACATTTTTCAGGTATTTAGTAGTATGTTACAAGGGTACTATCGAACTTTGTTGCCACAATCTATTTTATACTTAATACTATGGTAAAGTTGATTGACTTATGTGCTTTTATGTCTATATTCAAAAATTGCAATGCATATCTTTTCACAGGTATGGCTGATGTTTTCAGAAGTCTGAACCTCATTGAGACCCTAAAGACCCTGGAGAAGTTTGACTTTCCTGGCCTGTTGCAGGACATGGAAAGAGACCTTCCTGAGATCCGAGCCCACGCGGTGCTCTTGGCTCTCCCAACACTTACCTCCAGCCTGGTCACTCAGAAAAAGGATGCATTTAAAGCACTAGTATGGGCAGCTGCCTCGCTATCTGGTGGGGTGTCGGCTATTCCTGTTCCCTTTGTGGCCTCCATGGTGGACTCAAGTGTAGCAGTACGGATTCTAACCAAAGCACAATTATCTCTGTGTCTGGACGATGAATCTGTGGAACGACTGGCCCGTCAGCGAGGCATGGAGCCCACAAGACTTAAAGGGATGCGAACTTGTGCACTGTCAGTGGAGGTCACTAAGGGCGAGGTTCAACAGCGCCTGGCGAAGGCACAAAACGACTTGGCCACAGTTTCTTTAAAGCTGGTTGAGATGGCGTTACCCAGACATGCCCGTTCCGCCAGCCGCTCCTTTGCTACCATGCAGCAAGCCTTAAACTGCGCCATCGATGAAATGGCGGCTGATGCTGTGAAGATAGTGTCTGAGGCTCTTGGGGAGGGGAAGTGAAGTCAACTTGTTTCTTCTTTGTCTAAGGTTTCCTGTTTGTGTGTGGTTTATCTCTGAAACACACTTTCATACAGTACTCCAGAAATCATTTGATACATTGTAACAACTTTTAATCCGCATGAAATTATAAAGGGCATTGCAAATACTTTGCTAGCATATAATCTGCAAATCGTTTTCAAATACTGTAACTACTCAATGCCAGTAAAAAATACTTCAACCACCCAACCCAGTAGCTTTCAATAAAAATAAATACATCAAATAGAGGAAGTGAAAGGAGGTTGCAGGCCTACTGTAGCGAGCCAGATGGAGGGGGGAATAACACAACTTCATCATATAAAACATTTTAGTCGCTGACAGGCATGATTGGGCATGCAAATTTTGAAAACATTTTAGGTCAAGTGTGAAAAACTTCCTTTTTTAAATCTTACTCTTACTTTAGGAGGGATGGCGTGAGCTACATAACGCTGTAAGAGGATCCTCTGAGGTAAAAACTAAATTCTTTTTTTGTCTTTAATATTTTAGATTTCCTCTATTTGTCTGCCTATTTTAACTTAAAAGGTGATGTCTGTCTGGAAAGGTTTATCTCTTTGCTAATGTAAATAACAAAGTGGTACACGGTCTGTGTCCAGAATAAAATATGAGTTTTAAAAAAATGTGAATGAGGAAAAGGGGTTATATTGTTTCTGCAAAGTACAAAATGGCATTTGAAAGTTAAGTATACAGTATACCCTGCAAAATGCTGACCATGCCATATTCTAACACTCCTGTCGTGTCCGGGTCAAATCTGACTGATTTACTATTTCATCAATCATAAATATTGTGTTTTACGTTTGAATGCTTCAATAATAATAATAATAATAATAATAATAATAATAGCTTGCATTTATATAGCGCCTTTCAAGGGACCCAAGATCGCTTTACAAGTAATAGGGCAAAAATAAACATAACAAAACAAAAGTCAGACTGACAAAACAACAGATCGATTAGGGGCCGAAAGCCTTGGCAAACAGATGGGTCTTGAGGGCCCTTTTGAAGGCGTCGAGTGTGGGGATGTTGCGAATCTCCGCAGGGAGAGCGTTCCAGAGGGTGGGGGCTGCCACACTGTAGGCTCTGTCCCCGAAGGTTCGCAGTTTGGTGCGGGGGGTGGTGAGCAGGCCAGAGTCTGAGGACCGCAGGTTCCGGGGTGGGGCATGTGGGTGAAGGATGTCCGATAGGTACTGGGGGGCAAGGGCATGGAGGGACTTGTAGGTGAGGAGGAGTACTTTGTAGGATATACGGCCTAGGATATAAGGCCTTATGATATCCTCAACAACAGGCATTTGAACATATACAATTGCTGACCACCACTTTTATTGAATTTTGGGTGGTCAAGTCAACTCTATGGGTACATGTAAGTTCAGCCATCAGATAGTACACACACACAAATTGACAAGCATGTTCATTTTTGAATACATTTTCAGAGCACATTTTTTGTGTATTCACTGCAGTTATTCATGTAAACTTGTAGTCGAAAGTGGATGAACAGTTTACTGCTTAAAAGGGTGATAAATAACATGAACTGTTAATGTGAGAGCAGTTAAAACAGACAGGTCCAGTTTGACCGGGAACAACAAAGTAAGAAAAATAAAAACGACAAGAGGGCTAATGCTGCTAGATGTGGTGTAGAAAACATCTTTAAGTTTCCAGCAATCTTAAAACAAGGAAGAAACACTCAAACAATTCAGAAAAACCCCCCAGAAAAAAAGGAAGTATTACAATGTTGCATAGCTCATTTGGATTAAATAAAGAAAATACATTTCAATAATGGGTTCTATGTATTGTGATATCCATACAATAATGTACACACACTTTTTTACAGATATCAAGCTTCAGTAACACAAAACAATGTTTGCTAAGACATTCAAGTGGTTGGTATTTCTGGCAATAATAAAAGGTAGGATTTTATTTTTATCTCCGATATAATAATATTGTTTGCTTCTCACAACATTTGCATTAAAGTTACTTTGTGCTCTTACCACCACAGAATTGTCTTGTGCCATTACCTTCTCACTCAAAGAGACTGACCTGACAGCCAGAGAGGGGTCCTGCATCAAAATCACCTGCGGAGTCAATCAAAGGGATGATGTTGTTGAGGCACACTGGTTTTGGATAAAAAATGCAACTTGGAATAACGTATCTTTCACCGGCCCTGTCATTTACAGCAGTAATAACATAGTGCGCCCTGTCAGTCCAGGCTTTGCAGAAAGAGTTAAATACATCGGCTCTCCATTTTCAAGATGGAAAAATGATGGTACACCCTCAGAGGAGTGTAGTATTATAATCTGCAACCTGACCAAAACTGACAGTGGAAACTATTCTTTTAGATATATAGGGAAGCAAGGAATAGACAAATGGATGACTAAACCGGCAAACATCACGGTTACTGGTAA